AAACATTCCCCCCCCCCCCCCCCCCCATCCATCTCAGACTCCGTCACTGGTTTCAATTTCAGTTACAGCTTTGCAGAAGGATGGTATCATTTTCTGATATTTTCTTCACTCTCTCTCTCTCTCTCTCTCCCCCACCTCCAGGTGATATATTTTTAGATTTTGTCAGTAACAGGTTCTTATATTCAGTTTCAGAGGTCGGCCAATATTACACGGTACATTTATTTATCTCAAAGAGCCGAAGCTCATCTTTACTATTTAAGAATTCAGTCCGTACCTCAAAGAAAACACAGCATCTCCATTACAAGGATCAACTTGTTGATGCTGTTTAAGGAAAGAATCCTTGGTGACAGTGAGAATAATACGAAATCCATGCATACAAAATGCAAAATATTGATTGTTAAAGAGGGCGGTATTTTTAGTTACCACTAGGCTTTAAAGGATTTATCAGCTTGATTTGCGTCTTTACCAGGAAACGGTCACTTTCAGCGTGAAATGATGTTTCGCGTTGTAAAGAGGAACTCAGGTTGAACAGAAACCCGTGTAAGTGGGAGATCATTCCCGGATTATAAGCTTATAATCATGACCAAATTAAGGTGAGGAGTAAGTGCCTAGCATTTAGTGAATTAAGTACCGTAATTCATCCTTAGCTTATTTAGCTACGCTTTTCAACTATATTTGCTTGTAGCGTCCAGTGTAATATTGATCATGCATTAGTTTGAAAAGATATGGACAGAAGTCTTTGTGGCCTTTGTTTTTAAGACATGATCGGTCTAATGTTTATTGAAATGTACGTCACCTTGCGATAATGACGTAGACCATAACACCATGGTAAAAATTCACTGGGTTTTGCTTTTTTAGAAACTTCCGGTATGCAAAGCCGGTGCACAATACAAACGCGTTCGCAAGGTGGTATTCCGGACTCGTTTTTTTCTCTTTAGCACTTTGTTTCTTTGTAAGATCCGTAACAGCTCAGTCAGTAAAAGGTCACGAGGTAGATAACCGGGGTCGATACCCGACAGGGATATGACTTTTCTCTTTAACATCACCGAGTCCCAGCTTCCTGTGGAGTGGGTGGGTGCAGTGGACATTGGGGTCTTAGCGCAAAGCAAGAGACGAATGAAACTGATCCGTCACCTCCATCAGGTACCGAGGCCAACAGTACGTTGAGTTTCACATCCATCACCGCATACGCCTTTATTTAATCACAGGGACAGCTAGTTTTTCCTTTACCTCAAGTTCTATTCTTTCCTGGTAGTGGGAGACCACGTTTCACGTCCTTCCAGTATTGCAACCGAGCGTCGCGTTATGTTTGCTGGTTATTACTCCTGTCCAACATTAGGGAGCTACCTGTTTCGAATGTCGGTCAGGGTGTCGTCTGTGCTGACAAGTTTTTCATCCTTTTCTCGTTACCTCCGGGTAAATGATGGGATGTTCTAGAATCTTCCATTTATCACAATTTACATTCGTAATCGTCTCTTCTCATCGGCGCTACAGCCAGTGAAATCAGGATAACATCTGTAAGTAGATCGTGTGTCAGATAGTCCATGTATTGTTCTGAATCATCGTCACATCGCTTTAATTAAAATGACTGTTGACCTCGCGAATGAAGTGTTGCTGATGGAAGAGTCAGTTAAATTGAATAAGTTTCAGAGGCGTTACAGTGATATTTCCCCGACAAAATACATTGCATTTCCACTGTACCGGGTATACAGTTTATCGTTAGACCATCTGTCAGCGATATCTCGCTGATGGCTCCGTCGCTGTGCGAGAAGTGTGTCGTCGGCTCTGCAATAGGCCAACTCAGGATGTAAAATGAAGCTGTTGCAGAAGCGTGTCTAATTTCGCTGTATGTTTTGGAAAGTAAATTAATAAATAGAGGCGTGTGAAACGGTGTATGACATTGGTGTTCTCAGAATGCATAATAAATCTTTATGTGGAGGATTTTAACGTGTGGAATGGATACATTTGGCTCAGAGTAGGGTGATAGAGGTCAGCTTGTGTGTATAATTATGCTTTTGAGTAACTGTCAGCTGTTCCAAGAACACTTGAAGTAAAAAAATAATTTCTCTGTTTTATCGTACAGGTTTAATCTGAAATTCTTTAGGGAGGAAACAACTTAGAAACCCCAGGCGTAGGTGAGAGGATAATATTAAAATGGCTGTTAGACTGTAAAATCCATCGGATTGGCTCAAAATAGTGAACATTGGCGGGCTGCTGTAAATTATTTTTGAATTCTAGGATTCTGTAAAAGGTGAGAACTGTTTGACTAGCTGATCGACTAATAGCTTTACCAGGATTCTTCTCCATTGACTCAGTAATATACATGGAATTAAGAATGAACCAAATGGGACTAAGGTAATTACAGTCTTGGGTTGCTCGAGCACTATTATTGCGGATTTAAATTTAGTTCCGTGCATGGATCTATTCCCGCGATTTGTATTGTGTTCTGCGTAAATAATAATTGAAATGAGCCGATTTCCTGTGGGAGTCCTGTCATATGATCAGGGATCCGCTTTTCATAATTAATTCTGATTTGGAACAACACCGTCTGTGAAAGCTGAAGAAATAGTAAAATCAAAACAGGTAGAGGCAAATACTTTATTGCGTAAAGTATATGAAAATCCATCTGGAATGTGAGAGGTACTTGGTTGGAGTTGATGTGCTAAAATATTGGACTGTCTCTGCATACTGATCACAGCACTCAACAGGTAACAGGGTGTGGTTAGGTGCCTCGTGAGGTCGATATTGGGGGAACGAGGGGAGGGAGAGAGAGAGAGAGAGACAGGTGGTAACGACCGCAACCAAGTACAGAGAAATTGCTGTTGTCCTAACGCCCATGACCCCGTGGCCTCTCTGTGCCTCTTTTACCGATCAAGGAAGGACTAGACTCTGCATCATGAACTTGGCTCAGCTCAGTTCCACTTAAGGTAAAGTTGTCTCTATTGCTTAACTAAGCGCCGAGTCTTGAAGACGAATGGGCGAGTGAAGGTATAGCTCCACACATTCTTAACTTCGGCACTTGATAAAAAGGTGGTTAGTTTTACGCCAGGGCCACTTTATCCGCGGGGGAAGAACCCAGGTACCCACTGTTTTGCCAAAAAGCGAATTCCCGTTACCCAGCCCATGACGCAGTCGCCATGCTGACTGAGCTATCTTGTTCCGTTTATTAAGATGATCTTCTTGTAGATTGTTGTTCTGTATAGTCCAGTGGAAATTTACCGATGTTTCTGAGGTGCTTGATGGCTTCATCATCAGGGCGAGCATCCTGTATCAGCTTCTTAAGGAGGACTCTCCTTGTAGTTAGCTAGGCTTTGAACCTGCGGTTATCTACTCAGAAATCGAAAGCACCTAGCCAGATCTAAAGTGTCTTCTATAAGTACGCCGTGGTACAGCGGCAACTTCTCCGACACCGAAGTTGTGCGTTAAGTATAACGAGCAATGAGTAGGCGATCATGCAGCACTTTTGTGTTCCTTTAACATGAACATGAAATACGCGTCGAATATAGAAGGGTTGTAACACAAGTCCACGTGGCACTACTACGCAGCAGATTCCATGTTGGTTTATTAATACAAACAACACATTCTTAGTGCGAAGGTAAAGGTTGTGACCTATTTTGAGGTACTGTCGTAGCGTTTCCTTGAAGGGAATGAGGAAAACCATGATAATGTTTAGTCCCTGCAAATATCCTGCATTAGGAAAATGCTATTTTTAGCCTTCCTGGGAGTAACCACTAGACTGAGTAGAAACCTAATATTATGTATCACATCCACTTTCTTAGATTCAAATATTCTCTTAAAACACTCTCACTCTATGTCTACACTAATATTATACCAAGTATACGTTACGCTTGAGTGTATGAGTGCGACGGAGAACAGAACTGAAATCAAGTTCTGACAATGGCGTCTATGGTAGCATTAAATACAAAAGAGGCTGTGGTAGTGCGTATGGTGGGGCCTGGCGGAGTCTAGTTTTGCTGAAGTTTGAAGGCTGGAGACAGGCCGTCGGTATTGAATTAACTCGTTTGGTAGGAAAATGGCTTCAGTCGCCGTGAAGATGTTTTCACTTTTGATCCACAAGAAAGGATCATTCCCGTCAACTTTGACGGGTTATACTACGCTATTTCACTGTATAATATTTCCAGTTAAGTCACGTCGTTAAGTGGACCGACACAAAGTATCGCCATAATGAAGATTTCTGTCTTCTGGGTTGTTGCGCCTTGTAGTATGGTAGATTTTTACTAACGTTTCAGAGGTCATATTGCCTCCGTCATCAGGTCCATCATCTATCAAACTACACGGCGCAACAACCCAGAAGACAGAAATCTTCATACTAAGAATCACCCTGATGACGGAGGCAGTATGACCTCTGAAACGTTGGTAAACATCGACCAGACTACACAGCGCATCAACCCAGAAGACAGAAATCTTCATACTAAGAATCGCACTGATGAATGAGGCAGTATGACCTCTGAAACGTTGGTTAACATCGACCAGACTACACAGCGCAACAACCCGGAAGACAGAAATCTTCATACTCACCGCTGTGAAAACCTCAAATCATACACATATCGCCATAATACCTGATTATTTCCACGGCAGTACCTAATTCATTTAATAATAATTCTGTGTTACTGAAGCAGCATTTCAGTTAGGTTTCACTTTGTCCGTTGCCACTCCATCATGTTCTGACTTGCTGTTTGCCATGTATACAGGTGTTTAACTTCTGCTCCGCATATATTTGCTTACATGGCTGGATAAACTGATTGTACTGCAGACTTTTCTAATCCGAAATGGAGTACCTAATGATGTGATGTGTATAACACGACACCGAAATTGGGGTAGTGCGGTTCGAATCTGTATATATATTTGTTTCTTCTCTTCAATTTATTTAACAGCGATTTCGACACATTGTCATTATCGCTGATACGTGGTTAACAGCATTCTTTCGTATTCAGGAGATACCGAGTTCGAATCTCGGTAAGAATAGTGACAGGATTTTTGTGGTTTGTTGCCAAGTCAAATACGAAAAATGAGATGTGAGGACTTGTTTATTTATTTGTATTTTCGTGGTTTTTTAACGACGTTGTCAGTGGCTCAGACTATGGAGTATAGCGTAGAATTATAGGATGGTTAAATTTGTTGAATAATGAATTGCGAAGAATAAATCATCACGTGTTTTGGTTTGTGTTTATATATGCAGGTTTTATACCGAGAAGAAATTATAAGAGACAGCGATGTTTATTCGTTTATTTAACAACAATTACTTAATACCAGAGACTGTTTACCGTCGAATTGGAAATAATATGATAATGATTCGTGAATTAGTAAATCATGTGGTGAATCGAGCTTAGCTTTTACAAATTACACAGTTTTACTGTAGATGCAGAATAAAACAGAATGCATATACGTTCTATAGATCCTTTGTAGGCCCAAGCCAAGGATGTAGAACATGTCATAGCACAAATAAAATACTTGTTTCTCATACAAACGTAAATTGCATAGTTTTGACAGTCAGCTACAGTATTACCGTAAAAATATTTGCTCAAGAAAGCATACCCACTATTACTTACGTGTATTTATAATAACTGAGAATTTCTGGTTGAGGTAGATTCTTCTATAGAGTAGGAGTGAGATAGGAGATACTCGTTTAGTTTTGGCTTAAGCTTTTTTATATCGTGATTCAGACTTTATATAATGGGGTAAGAGGCGAACCTGATTGAGGGTGGTGGGTTTCAGATCGAGATTTTACCCGAAATCAACTGATTTAGAATCAGAAACGCCTTCTGTAAATCGGTATTCGGTGTGGTTGAGCATGGATGTGTACGGTGAATTGAAGAAAGCGTTCTTTTCCTCTTTACAACTAATATCCCAGACCGAGGAAAACCTCGATGAACATGAAATAGCTTGTGTTATGATCGAAATTCGATACATACAAGTTCACTTTGCCTGTGCAAGTGAAATGTACTCCGACTGACACAACGTGCCTGTTTGCTGCCCTCTGGCTTCGTAAGGAAAGTGGTCGGTGAAAATAAGCTGTTGCCACAAAGTTCCCTTGAAACGTGGGCCAAGTGCTTAGTGAATAAACATTCCTTGTGACTACTTAGTGCAGCGCTATCGGCTGATTACCAGGATACAGCAAAAAGAGGTCAGTCGAGTGTTTTTATTAATTTTTTCTGAACAGGCATTTTCTTACGTGCATATTAATGTTTTGTTGAATCGAGAATAATTAATTATGTAACTGAGGACGGCTGTTTTGAAGAGAATAATTTATTACTGGGCGTGTATGTGTAGAGCTATGAACCCCTTTGAATTCGAAGGTTTCTCATCGTGTCCTCAAGACTTAGCCTTGAACCACATGAATCCAGTCTCTTCATCACACCCAGTAAACAAAATAAATATACAGTCTACTGACATGAAGGTTCTAGGCCAGATTCTTCCAAAGTTTTATACCTTGCGCCTCCCCTTAAAACATTTCATAAATTTCACGCCCCCTTCCAGAACAAGTGCAAGCAAACAGATTTGACATAAAATTTAGCTATGATAACTAAACTGCCTCAACTAAGCAAAGGATGATAAAAAATGTTTCTCCATATTTCGTTAAAAAAAGTTTTTCATACAAACACCCCCCAGGGGGGGGGGGGGCACACTTTTTGAACCTCTGTTCTAGGCTATGAATTGTGAAGTCTGCAGGCTTAGTTGCTGTCCCGTGGTCGCCGTCTTTGGTCAAAACCCTGACCTAGAGAAGAAAGAAGTAGCGTGTATAAACCACCGAAGGAGGGTGGGACGGATGTGTTGGTAGTACGATCTGTAGCAGTAGAAGATGTAAATGAGATATTGCGTGGTGCGGAGAGAGAAGGAGGAGTGAGAGACGCTGTATCGATCCACTGCATACAGTTTTATGGTTCATTTCGAAATCACTAAAACTCCTGTGAACCCTGACATTAAACTCGTGTATTTTCTGTGAATCGTCATCAGCAGGTCACATTTGCCGTGTCTCGCCCCACTCTTCTGTATCCTCATTAGTATGAAGCTTTACCACAGTGAACTCTGTGCAGACACCTCCTGTCGGCAGGGGGAGTACAGAGGTAAAATTGTACCCACCACCGAAATAACACTCTGTACCAGAGGTTGCCAACCTTTTTTCCGTTAACGACAACTAGGAGAATCTTAAAATTTGTAACGGATACATTTGGTTGTTAATGTAACAGAAAATGACAATTGAAGTAATTGGATTACGAGTAGATTTGTGCCGTGTGTTCTTAAATCAAGATATTCACCAGAACATTGTTTTAGCGCACTCCAGCTCATGAAAATAGCCTGTCAAAGGGATAGGTGAAAATATTTGTTGTAGAAAATGTCTGTTGTTTACGCCCCGAACCTCGCAATGAATTTGCCCTCTGATTACAATCTGTAAACATTTCGACCTGTCGACACGACAGAGATTCGCTTTATACCACGTGTTTGCGATCGTCAATGACTTAAGATCTGTAGGTTTCACGGCGACTAAGAATAACGAATACTTCTCGGGCTACCAGCCGTTTCAGGGTAACCTGAAGACGAAGACGAAGATGGTTCTCGAAACGTTGGTGTTTTCTCAAATAAACTCTCTGACACGGCTGGTGGCCCGAGAAGAATTCATTATATCAATTACTATTCAATATGAATATTATGAATATTATCAAATTCTCGATGGCACCCACAGGCCCCTCCAAGGGGAAAACTGCAACATCGATATCAAAGATAGCAATCTTATCCAAGGCCGTGGTTACAAGTGTGATCATTGTTGCTGAAGTGTGCTCCAAGGTCATTCTTGTAACATTGTGATGAAATATTCAGAGACAGGCAGACACAGACGTGCCAGTCAGTAATGTGTTCTTTATTACTGTAGAAATTAGAACCGTACTGAACCACGAAAATAAATACATAATTATTTAGTGTTTTATATCTGCATTGAGAGCCATCATTTATAAATTTACTTGCCAAATGCATTGAAAAATTAGCTGTCACTTTTAACTGAAGGTAACAGTTTACTTTTCTTTCAAAATGTAGGTAATGGAAAATATTTTACTTTGTAAAGACCCTTACATTTATAGAACAGAATTTGTAGGCAATGTCATTGTTCAGAGGCAAAAGTTATGAAACAAGTTGATTAAACTCTTGTGTTTTTGTGTTGAACAGCTTCTACCAGATCCGCACAGCTCTCCGTGTCTCACCTAAGCTACCCGTCAAGGTGGAGGTGAATTTGCCTCGTAATCAACGTGAGTGTCATCTATTTTTGAAATCATAATTCCAGTTATTTGCAGATATGGGACAAGACTGTCATGATCAGTAGATATGTTTGATTTAGATTGTGCATATGAAGCAACAGAAATTTTTGGATATAAGCAAATTGCTGGACGCTGTCTCTAAAGCAAAGCAGTGATTTACACAGTCTTTTCAGACTTGTGGAGTAGTAAAAACAGCTGTGGGTTTTCTAAAGTCCAGTGCCCAGTTTGTCTCACATTCTACAAGTAAAATAATAATCTGTAACCTCAAGGTGTTAAAATCAAAGGGGTGCCATAATAACCCCACATTGAACATTCACAATTCATATATATATATATATATAAGAATTTAGCTTGCCAGAAATTACCATTCAGTCTGTTATAGCAAGGTAATGAGTCACCTAATGAGACGGCGAAGGAAGTGTCAGTGTTCAACAGTACTAATTATTTTTCCATTTACTGGGTCTGTTATGAAATGTTTAGTCAAATGTACAGAGAAGCAAAAATTAAGCCTATACTTATTATATCCACTGTTGGTTAAGAAATACTGCTCTAAAGGACTGATTACTGTAGAAGAACTGAGATGTCTGTTTGTGTTTCAGGATCAGAGTTAGCATTTCCAGCGTGTGTGGTGAATGGAACAGGTGTGAGCAAGACTTTTCAAATTCTATACCGCAACGAGGAAGTGCTCCTAGATGATGTCATCATGTTTCGAGCGCACATTCTAGTTGATAGCCATAAGGTGAACGCAAAAGCTCAAGGTGTTTGTAAAGTTCATGTGCAGTATTCGGCTTAAAGTTTCGATAAAGCACAACATTTAAATAAGAATGTGGATTTATTTTTTGTTGAGACAGCGTACCTAAGAATTAATTATTCTCAGTTGACTTCTTCCTATCATGTCATTTCTGAGTTATTCTTAATCATCCTACACTTCATTAAATGCTGTACCATCATAAATAATTGCAAAACCATCCCAGAACATTTCGTTTTTACTGAAAACATGCACTGTGTGGTTCTCTCATATGAAGGGTACTCTTTAATCAGCCTAGAACATTTACGCCTTAAGTTTCTTTATCAGTTCCTCAAAACAATCATGTTCTATTTGTTTATGCCAATATGGGTTCTTGTTAAGTTCACATTAGCCCTTATTACTTTTGCTTGTATTTTATTACCTCCATTATGCTTCTTTATCCTTTCACTGAAAATGTTTGTTTTAACGGTTTTAGATTGAGGATACTCTCGAACGAGCAGACTTCACACTAATGGTAGAACTGTGGTTTACGGATCAAACGTTTGGTCCAGACCAGCATAGCACCATTTCCTGCGTCTCGAGTCGAACACTGCAGCTACACTTCTCTCCCACCAGAGGTCTTCACTATCACCTGCCCGTCCTATTTGACTACTTCCACTTGGCTGCCATAACAATGACCATCCATGCTAGCCTTGTCGCCTTGCATCAGCCCTACATCAAGTGAGTAAAACCAGTACTTTTATTATGCAATTTGATATTTTGTCATGTATATCTCAGTATTTCGTTACAAGTGTCCAGTGGGCAGTGATATAACCTGGTCAAGCTTCAACAGTTTTTCTGTTAACTGTCTGTTAAGGGTAATGATATAAACTCAACAACATTTTCTATACATCTGTGCTTCATCACTTAAGGACAATAGTATAAGCAGATTTCGTAAAATTTTCTATAGGGTTCTGTGTTTTTCTTTAACTGTTGATATAACCAGGCCTTAACAAATTATCTGTAAATCTGTGTGCTGTTGCGTAAGGACAGAGATATAACCAGGCATCAAAATATTTTCAGTAAGTCGTTATGTTAGCACTCAAGGACTTGAATAGCTTTAATATAGATGTACAGAAATTGTGAGTGAAGATGGAAACTGAAAGAAACATGGAACTATGTTACATTTAGTGAGTGGTTATAAAATACACATTATTATCACAGAATTTTCATTTTCTGCCGAAAGGCATCTTAGGACAACTACGTCTGCAAGTCCTGTACTATGTATAAGAGTGTGATATGGATAAAATTCAGCTGATTTTCTCTTCTTAATAAAGGCCGAAGCTCATGTACAAAACATCATTCATTCAACACATGTGTGGACCAAGATATTTACAGTAATATCCCTTCGTAAATGGAATCTGTGTAATGTATTTGGACCCGTACACATTTAAGAAAATTTTAGAACAGCTGTGCAGTCAATGCAAAATTTAGAAATGTTTGGTTCCGGAATCGTCTTTTTTCCGTAGATACTCTTTTGAGATATCACTTTAGAAAGCTTTAGGTGCCATGTGCTTACAAAGCTGTAGCTATTTATGATCTAGATTAGCTCAAAATAGTGGGATTAACATCGCACAGAACATTATGCAGTCTAACTTAAATCTCTCAAACCTGTGTAACCATGCTGTAGGGATGTCTGTGAGAAGTGTAAGCTCTTATTTGAATTTCATGCAATCATGGTGTAACTTATAGCCAGATAAGACATTATTGATTATATATAGGTACTTAATGAATCCTTTCATGTGAAGAATACAGAATATTTCATCCAAAAGTGTTTTCAGAGTTCTGCCTATGTTTCCTAACATGTAAGTGGATGAAATGACAGTTTTATAATATATTACATTGCTTAAAAATTAAATGGATAGTAGATATAAATGAAGAGAAAATAACACACACCATCATCTCCTTTTATTGCATGTTTCTTTATCTGTAATCCTTTTCTCTCTTAATCCATCTGTCACTCAGCACCCCCTCTAGATTTGTGTAAGTTCTCACAGAAAGGGCACAGACCCTGTAGTAATTGAAATTTAGCAATTAAAGTTTCGTGTGAGAGTATCACATGTTTTGAAGTATTGAGGTATTTGGAATATTTAAGATATAATTTTGAAGGGGGCTTGGTGGAATAAAATCTGTTAATAGTAGCAGGTGACCAGCTTGTACTCACTATACTGTGCCAGTCTTAATGAATACTACTTGTCACATGATGAAATAACATGCACATACACACTCAATGTCATGTATTATAAACTAAACATGTGTGCAAGTTAGCCACAGCTAAAGGGAGTGATGCAAGCTTTTCCAGTTTGAAAATCTTGTTCCCTTTCTTAAGTAATGTTTTGTTGTTGTTGTTGTTCCTCCCCCCCCCCCCCCCCCCCCCCCCCTCCCT